GCATTGCCAGGTGCACACACTCTAGCACCTACTGCTTGCTTGGTCTCTAGGAGAGAAGTGGGAAGCAGAGGCACTAGGAAGGGGGTGTCAGGGGTGAGTGGGCTCTGGTTGTGGTCAAGTTCAGGTGTCCTACATGGGGACCCAGGTGTTGCTAAGGTTTCCAGCAGGACGTTGGCTTGGTTATGTTGGAGTCAGATGAGGACCGTTTAACACCCGGCAACTGATGCATCTCATCTCTGAGGTGCCTCATCTCTGAGGCATCTCATCACCTGAGCCTGCGCCTCCTCTTCCTCCCAACCCCTCCTCCCTCCTCTTCAGAGACTCAGGGTGCATGTTCTTATTTGGGGATATTCCTGGAGATGGAGGGTTTATTGAATGGGCCATGGAGTTGGGGAGTACAGATCCACTGAGGGAAAAACAAAATCATTATGGTGCCTACAGAAAACCTCCCAGCAGCCAAGAGAGGCTGGCAAACTGCCTCACTGAGGCAGAACGTTCTTTTCTCTTTGAGTCACACCCGGTGATGCACAGGGGTTACTCCTGGCTCATGTACTCAGGAATTACTCCTGGTGGTGCTCGGGGGACCATGTGGGATGCTGGGAATCAAGCCCGGGTCAGCTGCAAGGCAAACGCCCCACCTGCTGTGCTATCACTCCAGCCCCCAAGGCAGAATGCTCTAATACAATCTCCAAAGCATCTTTAGGACTATCTGGCCGAATGAACCGAGCTCTTCCAAAACCACTGAGCTGCTGTGCAATTGGAGGGAAGGTTGATCCTCTGCATCCTCCATCCACCCAGATGTTTGCAGGCTAAGGGACATTTATTTAGTGTAAATAAAAACAGCAAACTTTTGTGTTCCTGATGCTAGAAGGGTGAAGGCCCTCCTCAGACATGCGGGGTGAGGTCTGTTCTGAGATTGCAGCCCTGGAGGCTGGTGGAGGGACTTAGGAAGAAGGGATGGGGCACAAGCGTTGGAGGAGATGACTTGCAAGCCAGAGGCCCTGGGTCGGATCCCAGTACCTCGCGGTTCTCCCCACGTATCTGAGTGGGGAGAATGGAAATAAGGAGTCCCAGTAACCCCGGTGTCTGCTGTCTTGTAGCCACACCCGCGTCTTCCAAGTGCCCAGCGAGGCGAGAGAGGAGGTCATTCGCGAGCGGATCCAGCAGGTGAGACGCAGGTAAGCAAGTGGATGGTTCGCATTCCTGCTGAAGACTGGGCAGCTGGCGGGAGCTGGGGGGTGTGGGGCTTCCGCTCCACCCTCAGCCCTACCCCATGCCCCTCTTCTGCGCCCCCCATCACCCCCTCTCCTGTCCCCACAGCCTCTGCCAACTTTCAGACGAATCCTCCGAAAGCTTCGATTGCTGCTCTTGCCCGGATTGTTACCCCGGGTGCTGAGAGCGGAAGGGTGAGGAGCAGGAGGACCGGGCAGCGGCGCGAGCACCCAGCAAGGGGGCCTGTCCCCTGGGGAGGGCTGTGGCCGGCGGTGCAGTTGCTGCCCTCCTGGCGGCCTGCTGGACACTTCCCGAAGGCAGGGCCGAGTCTGTGCTGTGTGTCACACACAGCTGGCTGTCAGTGTGTGCGTGGCCAGGCCTGGGCACATAGTGTCTATGGCCAGTGCCTCGGCGCACAGGGCACTGGAGTCAGCGTAGGGGGTGACCTGCCCCTGGCCTGCTGCTGGGTCGCCGTCTGCAAGGCTCAGGCAAGGGCACCAGCGTGTCACTCAGGAACTGCGATGCCAGGTGCAAAGAGCAAGGAGTCTTGTTGCACCCTGGAGCCTACTGGGTGGGCAGGTGGCCCAGAGGGGGTCAGTGTTCAGAGAGCACTTACTGGGCACAGTTTTATCTTGGGCCCAGGGTGTTTGCTGAGGAGGGCCCAGGGGTGCCCAGAAACCTGGGTGCAGACAGATGCTCCCTTGAAGCAGGTCACTCACTGCAGTGTCCCCTCACTAAGGATATTGCCTGGGGCCAAGAAGCCACCACGCTGGACTTTACCAAACTGTGTCACAGCCCAGGGTTGCTGCCAGGAAAGGGCTGGCAGGGCTTGGGAGGTGGAGAAGCAGAGCCCACCTTAATCTCTGCTGATCCTCCTCCCCTGCTGGAGCTGGGGTCCTGTCCCAAGCCTCACCCTGGGATGCTCTGTCTGGGAGCCGGAGTCTGCCTCCTGCCAGCCCGCGGGCATTTCTCTGCTTTCCAGGGTAGCGGCTTTCAGGGTCAAGGATCAACCTGAGTCAGAGCGAAATCCATCTCCCCTTGGCCTGAGGAGTGATCCCAGCCAGGCCAAGAGAACCACCAGATCGCCCTCACTCTGGCGTCCGGCTCTGGGGTCTGCTGTTGAACTGCTAATAAAGAGATGTCGCTATTTAACCACCATCTGGCCTTGGGTGAGAGCTCTCTCATTCATCCATTCACTCTCCCACCCGCCATTCATTTCCTCATTAATTCACTCATTCATTCACTCACTCACTCATTCACTCAATCATTGATTTATTTATTCCATCCATCCTTACAATTCAATCACTCATTCGCCTACCCATCCATTCATCAATTGACTTACCCATCCCGCTCCTCATTCATTCATTCATTCATTTATGCATTCACCCACGTCTCCAATGGAGACGTTACTAGGCCCGCTCGAGCAAATCGATGATCAACCGGAGGGCCTTTATCTTATCTTTTATCTATCAAAGTAATTATCAAATGGATATGGGTAAATAATTATTCCTATTCCCTGGGCTGTCTTTGTTTCTTGGTTACTGTTTCTTTTTTATTTATTTATTTATTAATTTTTTTACAGTTGTAGATTTACAATTTTTTTTGTGCTTGGGTTTCAATTATACAATGATCAGATACCCATCCCTCCACCAGTGCCCGTTTTTCACCACCATGGATAATATCCCTCCCACCCCCATCCCCCCATCCCCCCCTGCCTCTGTGGCAGGGCAATCCCCTGTGTTCTCTCTCTTACTGTTTCTTTTGAGGTGCAGAAGCATCTTAGTTTAATGTAGTCCCATTTGTTTATTTTGTTTCCACTTGCATGGTCAGTGCTGTTTCATCCTTAAAGATGCCTTTAGCTTCAATGTCATGGAGGGTTCTGCCTACATTTTCCTCTAGGTACCTTGTGGATGCAGGTCTGATATTGAGGTCTTTAATCCAGTGTGATCTGACATTTGTGCCTGGCACTAGAGGTCTGAGTTCTTTTTTCTTTTTTCTTTTTTTTTTGCATATAGCTGCCCAGTTTTCCCAGCACCACTTGTTAAAGAGGCTTTTCTTGCCCCACTTCTCAAATTTCTTGCTCCCTTATCAAAGATATAAGTGATCATATATTTGAGAGTCGGTCAGAATATTCAACCCTCTCCCATTTGTATGTGGGTCTGTCTTTATTCCAATACCATGCTGTTTTAATTATTACCACTTTGTAGTACAGTTTGAAGTTGGGGAAAGTGATGCCTCCTATCTTCTTTTTCCCAAGGATTCCTTAAGCTATTTATTCAGCCACTGATTAGCTGATTGAATTGTGCATGAACTCCACTTTACTTTTTTCCATTTTTTAAAATAATTTTATTTATTGAATCACGGTGAGAACAGTTACAAAGCTTTTGGGTCTAAGTCTCGGTCATACAATAAAACACCTGTACCTTCACCAGTGCCCTTTCTCCACCCCCAACAACCCCAGTACACCCCCATCCCACACCCTCCCCCTACCTGTGGGGCAGATGATTTCCACATTACTCTCTCTCTACCTCGATCACATTCAATATTTTTTAAAAAAATTTTTTATAAGTGAAACACCATGAGGTACAGTTGTAGACTTACAATTTTTTGTGCTTTGGGTTTCAATTATACAATGATCAAACACCCATCCCTCCACCAGTGCCCATTTTCCATCACAACGGGTCCCAGTGTCCCTCCCACCCCTCATTCCCCCCCCCCCCCCCCCCCGCCTCTGTGGCAGGGCATTCCCTTTTGTTCTCTCTCTCCTTTTGGGTGTTGTGGTTTGCAAAAGAGGCATTGAGTGGCAGTCGTGTTTGGTCTATAGTCTACTTTCAGCATGCTTCTCCTATCCTGGGAGGATCCTCCCAACACCCTTTATTTGGTGCTCCCTTCTCTATCTGAGCTCCCTTTTCCCCTAGAATGTGTGTCTGGCCTCCAAGCCATGGAGCAAAATTCCTGGTACTAATCTCGTCCACTCTTGAGTGTTAGTCTCCTATTTTGTTACTTTATGTTCCGCAGATGAATGCAATCTTTCTATGTCTATACCTCTCTTTCTGACTCATTTCGCTTAACATGATACTTTCCCTGTAGTACCACTTGTATGTAAATTTCATGACTTCATCTTTTCTAACAGCTACACAGTACTCCATTGATGTACCAAAGTTTCTTTAACCAGTCATCTGTTCTCAGGCACTCAGGTTTTTTTTCCCAGATTCTGGCTATTGTAAAGAGTGCTGCAATGAACAAACAAGTGCAGATGTCACTTCGACTACACTTTTTTGCCTCTCTGGGATATATTCCCAGGAGTGGTATTGCTAGGTCAAATGGGAGCTCAATTTCTAATTTTTTGAAAATTGTCCATACCGTTTTCCAAAAGGGTTGAACCAGTAGGCATTCCCACTAGCAGTGAAGGAGGGTCCCTTTCTCGCCACATCCGCGCCAGCACCGGTTGCTTTTGTTCTTTGTGGTGTGAAATGATATCTCATTGTTGTTTTGATCTGCATCTCCCTGATGATTAATGATGTACAGCATTTTCTCATGTGCCTTTTAGCCATTCGGATTTCTTCTTTGAGAAAGTTTCTGTTCATTTCATCACCTCATGTTTTGATGGGGTTGGATGTTTTCTTCTTGTGGAGTTCAACCAATACCTTGTATATCCTTGATATCAACCCCTTGTCAGATGTGTATTCGGCGAATATCCTTTCCCATTCTGTAGATGTCTTTGTATTTTGGTCACTGTTTCTTTTGAGGTGCAGAAGCTTCTTAGTTTAAGATAGTCCCCTTTATCTGAAAATATGGAACGCTTCACGAATTTGCATGTCATCCTTGAGCAGGGATCATGCTAATCTTCCTTGTATCGTTCCAATTTAATATATGTTCTGCTGAAGTGAGCACATTCAATATTTTGACACCAGACCCACCATTATTATATGTGATTTTACCCCAACACTCAGATCTGCTGAAAAGGCAACAGTAGACAATTTGTTTTTTATTGCTGGTTATGAATAACATATGATGTCGCGTGGATGCAGTAATGGCCGCGCGATTTCGAAATTCCAAAATTTTAATACTTAAATCTGGAGGGATTTCTGCCAAAACCTGCTGGGTTCCGAGATTGGCTCCTGAGTCTCTGGGATCATGGCCATTAAGCAGCTTGATCAGGAGCCAGAGAGGCCGTTTGTGGGCGATGACTTGGGGTCTCGTTTGGGTGGGGAGGACAGGACCGGCTCCACCCCCATCCTGTGAGGCCCAAAATGTCTCATCACTGCGGGCCCAAACCTGGCTGTCCAGTGGCCTCTGGAGAATGATGGCTACTGAGTCGCCAGGGGGAAGCAGGCGGAGGGACAACACCCTTTCCCCCCTGGGGTGGCCCGGCAAGAGTAACCTAATGCGGGGTCCGGACTCATTTCTGCCAAAAGCCACTGGGTTTTTTTTTTTACTTTTAAAAAAATTTTTATTGAATCACTATGAGATAGTTACAAACTTTCATGTTTGGATTACAATCACACAATGATCAAACATCCATCCCTCCACCAGTGCACATTCCCCACCCCAATATCCCTGGTATGTCCCCCTTTCCCACCCTCCCCCTGTCTCCATGGCAGACATGATTCCCCATAATCTCTCTCTACTTTGGGCATTATGGTTTGCAATACAGACCCTGAGAGGTTATCATGTTTGTTCCTTATCTACGTTCTGCACGTATCTTCCATCCCGACTGATTCCTTCAGCCCTCTTTTTCTTAGTAATCCCTTCTCTATTCCAGCTGTCTTCTCACCTTTGCTCATGAAGCGAAGCCACTGGGTTTTGAAATTTGTTTCTGAGTCTCTGGGATCATGGCCGTTAAGCAGCTTGATCAGGAGCCAGAGAGGCCGTTTGTGGGCGATGACTTGGAGTGTCATTGGGGTGGGGAGGACAGGACCAGCTCCACCCCCATCCCATGAGGGCCTGCGTGTCTCGTCACTGCGGGCCCAAACCTGACTGTCCAGTGGCCTCTGGAGGATGGTGGCCACCAGGCCGCCAGGGGGAAGAGGTCAAGGCACGAAACCTATTCCCACCTGGGTTCACCCAGCACCGGTAACTTACTGCAGGGACTGGATGCATTTCTGCCAAAAGCCGCTGGGTTTCGAGATTTGTTTCTGAGTCTCTTGGATCATGGCCATTAAGCAGTTCAATCAGGAACCAGAGAGGCCATGCCTCCAATTATATGGCTGAGCCGGAGGTGGTTTGTAGGTGTGTTTCCCACATACCTAATTTTTTGACAGTTTACTTTCTTGGCAAACTTTGCCCAAAGTTTTTGGGTTCTGGTCAAAGGCACAAAAGCAATTTTGGGCTACCTGGAAGTCTGAAGGCACCATGAGGCTGGTGATGCACTCGCCTCACAGGTACAGATTGACCTGCTGGCGGCACCTTACCCCCTGCTTTCGCTATTTGTATATTTAAATTTCAGGAATGTTTGATCTATTTCTTTGAAAAATATCATGGGTATCCTTATAGGGACTGCATTGAATCTACAATGCTTTGGGAATATTACTATTTTGAAAATGTTAATTCTCCCAATCCATGAGCAGGAGAATGTCTCCATTTCCTTGTGTTCTCTTTTATTTCTTGAAGTAGCGTTTTGTAGTTTTTTTTTTGTACAGGTCATATATCACCTTAGTTAAGCTATTTGTGAGATACTTGATTTTCTGAGGTACATTTGTGATTTTTTTTAAAAATACACTTTATTCTCTTTCACTGCATACAGGAAAGCCATGGACTTTTGGGCATTGATTTTGGAATCTGCCACTCTTCTACACAAATCTACTGTTTCTAGGAGCAATTTGGTAGCGACTTCAACTCTTAGTATCATGTCATCTGCATACAGTGAGAGTTTGATTTCTTCCTTTCCTACCTGCATGCCCTTGATATTTTTTTCTTGCTTAAGTGACATGACAAATACTTCCAGTATTCTACTGAATAGAAATGGCAAGAGTGGGCCAACTTGTTTTGTCCCTAATCTTAGGGGAAGGCTTACAGTTTTCCCCCATTGAGAATGATGTTTGCTGTGGGCTTGTGGTAGATGGCTTTGACTATATTGAGGATAGTTCCTTCAATTCCTATTTTGTGGAGTTTTTTTTTAAATTATGAATGGGTGCTGGATCTTGTCAAGTGCTTTTTCTGCATCTATTGATATGATCATGTGGTTTTATTTTTCCTTTTATTGATATGGTGTATTATGTTGATTGACATGCGAATGTCAAACCATCCTTGCTGTCCTGGGATGAATCCTACTTGGTCATGATGTATGATCTTTTTGATGAGTCGTTGCATTCTGTTGACTAGGATTTTGTTGAGGATCTTTGCATCTGTGTTCCTCAGGGATATCTAATTGTTTTTTTGTGGTGTTTCTGCTTTTGGTATCAGGGTGATATTTGTTTCATAGAAACTGGGAGCGTTTGTTTCTTCAGCTTCCTGGAAAAGCCTGAAAGGATTGGCAGTTGGTCCTTTTTAAAGGTTTGCAAGAATTTAATAGTGAATCCATCTGGGCTGGGCTTTTACTTTGGGGAAGACTTTTGATTACCATTTCAATTTCCTTGATAGTGATAGGTCTACTCAGGTATTCCAGATCTTCTTGGTTCAGCCTTGGGAGGTTATAGGAGACCAGGAATTTATCCATTTCTTCTAGGTTCTTGCTTTAATGGCATGACATATGGATTCTCAAGGTAATCTCTGATGATCTTTTGAATGTCTGTGGTTTCTGTTGTTCCTTTCATTTCTGATTTGATTTATTAGGGTTCTCTCTCTCTGTCTTACTAGCAGTTTATCGATATTGTTTACTTTTTCAGAGAACCAGCTCTTGGTCTCATTGATCTTTTGGATTGTTTTTTTGGGCTTCCAGCTCATTAATTTCTGCTCTAAGTTTTATTATTTCCTTCCTCCTGTCTGGTTTGGGCTTTTTTTGTTGGTCATTTTCTAAGATTTTAAGCTGTGAAGTCATTTATGTGGGCCCATTCTTCTGTCCTGATAAATGTTTGCAGAGCCATAAACCTTCCTATTATAACACTGTTTTTGCTGTGTCCCACAACTTCTGGTAGCTCGTGTGCTCATTCTCATTTGTTTCCGGGAATCTTTTGATTTTTCTCTTTGAATTCCTCTCTAACCCCACTGGTTGTCCAGTGGATTCAGTGGTGAGGTGTTTAATTTCCATATGATTGATTTGATTCTCCGTTTCTGTGTGTAATTAACTTCTATTTTCAGTGCATCATGGTTTGAAAAGATAGTTGATAAAATTTCCATCTTCTTGATTTTATGGAGGTATGTTTTGTGGCCCAGCATATGAAGCCAGAATTTTCATCTAAACCAATAACCAATATTCCAAGTGACGATGAAATGCTAGAGACAATTCTGTGAAAATAGACAAAGATTCACTCATATCATCATTAATTGTTTCCTGTTTCCTTCCAAAAAGATTTTTTTTGGGGGGGGTCACACCTGGCGATGCACAGGGCTTACTCCTGGCTCCGCAGTCAGGAATTACTCCTGGTGGTGCTCAAGGGACCATATGGGATGTCAGGGATTGAACCGAGCTTGGCTATGTGCAAAGCAAACGCCCTTCCCACTGTGCTATTGCTCCAGCCCCCCCCCAAGTTTTTTATTATAGGGTCCGGTACTCTGATTATAGTAGTGTTAATGTTGATGGTTTTGATGTGCAGTTACTGCAGGTTGGAGAGAGAGAGTAAGTGGTGAAGGCTCTTGCTTTACACGCGGACAATCAGAGTTCAATCCCTGGCACTGCATATGGTTCCCTGAGCACAGAGCCGGGAGTATCCCATGAGTCCAGCCAGGCATGGTCTCCCCAGTTCACAGTCACAGTACCTTCATTACCACTAAATCCCCCCAGACCTGCCATCCTATGCTTGACCATTTATTTTCTTTTCTTTTTTTTTTTTTTTAAATTTTTATTAGTGAGACACCATGAGGTACAGTTGTAGACTTACAAATTTTTGTGCTTGGGTTTCAATTATACAATGATCAAATACCCATCCCTCCACCGGTGCCCATTTCCCACCACCACGGATCCCAGTATCCCTCCCACCCCCCATCCCCCCATCCCACCCTACCTCTGTGGCAGGGCATTCCCTCTTGTTCTCTCTCTCTTATTGGGTGTTGTGGTTTGCAAAAGAGGCAATGGGTGGCAATCATGTTTCTAATGTCTTCCTCTTCCTTCCTCCTTCACTCTTGAAGTACAATTCTGAAGGCAGCATTTTAGCTTTTGTTTTCCCTTTCAACATTTTAAATACTACTCTCCTCTCTTCCTCCTTGCTCTCTCCGTAAGATCCTGCTTGGCAGTTAAATATTCCCTTCTTTGCCTTTCTTTAGTTTGAGGACAGCACGCCTGGTGCCGACCCTGGGGCACCTACCCAGCTTGCCGTGCTGGTCACCTGGATCTGTTGGGGGTTCTGGCACTCATCCTGGAGAATTCGAATGATGGTCACTCTTCAAACCTCGTCTCTTGAAGTTTTCTCCTTTTGACATTCCCTCTTCCATGATGTGATGCCTTTTGTGATCACTCCAGTGCTCTCCGGTGTTCTTTTTCTATTTTTATTCTTATCTTGTGTTTATATGGAGTTTGGGAAAATCATGTTCATATTTCTTCCAGTTCCTGGGTTCTGGTTGTGTCTTGTCTCCAGGTGAACCTTCTAGAGACGTTCTTCATCCCTCTGACACACCTCTTGTCTCTGGCACTTGTCTCTGGCGTTTCCTCTGCATTTTTCTTAGGCCCCCATATTCTGCTCTCATCACCCCTCTGTCCTTGCATGTGATCCATCCCCTGTGTGGCCTCTGTCCTAATGCCCTCAGTGGTCTTCGTCTGACCACTCTGCGTGGTCACCTGCTGCGTCCCAGTCTGGTCC